TAGAAGAATTGATGCATTTGAGTTATGGTGTTGTAGAAGAATATTGAAAGTTCCATGGGCTGTCAAAAGAACCAACAGATCTGTTTTGGAAGAAGTAGAGCCAGAGTGCTCATTGGAGGCCAGGATGGCCAAACTTTGCCTCTCATACTTCGGATATATTGTCAGGAGGAAGCAGTTGCAAGAGAAGGATATCATGTTTGGTAAGGTGATGGTCAGAGAAAAAGAGAAAGACCCCCATCGAGATGGATTGGTCAAGTGGCAACATCAATGGGCTCAAGCATGGCAACAGTAGTGAGGTTGGCCCAGGACCAGACAGTGTTTCGTTCTGTTGTGCATAGGGTTGCTATGAGTCAGTACCCGACTCGATAGCACCTAACAACAACAAGGTTGTGGTTCAAGATAATTTGTAGGAGAAAGAGAGGCGAACTTCTTCTATAAAAATTTACATCCTCAGAAACCCTATAAGACAATTCCTCTCTGACCTATAGTGTCACTCTGTGTTGGAATCGACTTGACAGCAATGAGTAATTGTTATGAAAGCAGACTGCAATATATTTGTTTCACAGAGCAATTCATGGGTTTGAACCACTGCCCTTGCAATTTGCAGTCCAGTACTTATCCTGCAGCGCCACACCAGGATTCCTTATTACACAGTTGTAGTTAAGTGCTGTGGAGTTGGTTCCAACTCATCGAGATCCTGTATGAGTTTTCTGGGGAGTAACTGGTGGATTTGAACCACCGACCTTGTGGTTCGAACCCACCTCGCAGTCAAGTGCTTATCCTATAGCACCATACCAGGACTCCATTTATTACACAATTGTTGTTGTTGTGAAGTGCTGTCAAGTCGATTCTGACCCATAGCGAACCTGTATAAGGTTTACAAGGAGCAGTTGGTGACCTTGAACCAGTGACCTTGCAGTTCAAACGGCTTTGCAGTCTGGTACATTAACCCAGAGCACCACACCAGGACTCACAGTAGGTACAGACAAATGTTTATTAAACAAATGAAGTAATCCTGAAAATTCCAGAAGCTTGGCACCCCACACCCCTGGGTAGTAGTGACTCCCCTGCCATTACAAAACCTGTAGTAGTTTCAAGTGCTAACGTCTGGTTTCTAAGATAAATCCACAGGGAAGACACACTTAGCAGTATTTAAAATGTGGTGTTATTTTGTTTTTAGAGCTTAACTGGAAGGTGAACAATTACGTATAGAAAAAAGACAAGGGGTAATGAATTTGTAAATGAAGTCGATACATCACATTTACTGTGACATCTAGGTCATCTTATATCTACAACCATTTTATCTGAACGGTAAAGGGAGTAGTAGTTTATTCATACTTCTAAAGAACTATAGGGGTTCTAACCATATATCAGCATGTCAAGACTTCTGTGATTTAGTAAATCCCGAAACATGAATTTTTTCCCTTATATATACACTCATGCTGGGTAAGGTGAGACGTGCATAAATCATAATCCCACATAAATTTCTTCTGATGAATGACAGATTTTCAACAGTCTGACCTGAACATTTAATTTATAGAAGCAAGTTTTGTCTTTGAACTGTACCTATTCATATATGCAACCCATTTTATCTTGTTTCCACATGAATGGGATTGGCAATAGGGAAACTGGCAAATCTGTCTCAACTGAAAGTAGGACCCTGCCTCTCCTGCAACCCATTCTTTTCCTCTCCACCACCCAACTCGGAGGCCCCAGAAGAAGCAGTATTTGATGCCACGAGTAGTGGTTATTTTCAACTGCATCGTCGCTGTCTAACAGTGGAAACAAGAGTCTCCGCAGCTCAGCCTGTCTGTTCTCTGCTGCTACTCAGTCTCCAACATTCATTATGGATGTTGGAATGGGCAAAACCTCCTCTTCCTGTCCTCACGCTCCTTTCCCAGCTAAGCATGGGATAGGCATTAAGGTCTCCTTTGCAGAGAGCATTTCCCTCACTTGAACATTCTCTCAAAAGCCCCCTTTGTTCCCTGCCCTCCACCCCTTCTATATGTTGAAGCAGCAGTCGCCCAGATGTTCTCTATCAAAGCCTGAACCATGCCAGCAAACTTTGGCACTCATGAAAGTGCACTGAGTACTAGCCCTCCAGAAATACGACCCCCCCCCTCTGATTTCTGCAAATATTTTTAAATGTTAATGGGTTCCACTCACCCACAACCTAGGGGGAGGTTACAGAACAGGGCTCTGTCTGTCCAGCAAATTAGCAGCCCGTGGATACTGCTTGGCGCCTGGGTTCTGTCCCACCCCCAGGCATTGGCTGGGGTTCTCCAACCTTGAACTATTGAGGCCATTTTGCCAGCACATAGCTTTCTAGTGACAGAGGTTAGATGGGCAGCTGACAGGAAAGTTGCTTCAAGCTACAACAACAAAAAAGGACCTCCCTATCTTGTTCTGAAATTTCTGAGAGCAGGAGAGGTCCTGTAAGCATCACCGAAAAAAGAATTTGAAATGTTTATTTTATCCTCTTACTTATCCTCTTCCTTCTCCTTTTCTGGTTCTTTTTAAGAAAAAATCAAACATTTTTCTGGTTTGGTACATAGGCACAGAACGACGTGTTCTATTCTCTGGTACTCTGGCTTTCACGATGTCCCTTTTGAAGCACCTTGTCATTGTGTTCCATCCAGGACCATATCTTTGAAGCACCTTAGCAACAGAAAATGATACATTAACAGATGCTTTGGTTCAGTTTTAATGCACTGGAAATTTGCATCTTTTATATGGAAGTGGAAAAGTGATTTGTATGAGATTGGGCAGAGGAAGAGAAGGGTGGCTGTGGGTGCTTTTTGCAGGAAAGATTTATTGAGTATAGCTGTGTTATGACAGCTGTCTTAGGGTCAGACTGGAAGTCTCTAAAGAGCTCACTTTCAAAAGGTAATTGAAAGTCACTCTTGAAGATTTTATGAAGGGTCACTATGAGTCGGTGCCAACTCGACGGCACCTAACAATTTGAAGATTTTGAAGGGTTTCGTCTCGTCCTCTGATAGACTGTACAGTCACCTTGGAAACAAGTGACTTAGATGTGATCATCCTGTGGTTGTTTCTTCTTGGCTAAAACTCCCTTTGTTGCTTAAGAATCATAATGCTTTTGTCTTGTCCATGGTGGGGAGTGGAGGAGGTGACTTCAAATGTGGCTTCAGCTATCACATCATAATCCAAAGACTTCAGAGTATGTCAGTTTATCAGTATTTTTGCTTCAGGTGTAATTTCATTATAGCACTTTCCAGTGACGAATGTTAACAAATGAGGGGGAGATCAGTGAGTATGACCATAGAGCAAATGCAAGAGTTATAAAATATGGATGACTCTTCAGAACTTAAACCATCTAGTCAGGCCCCTAGCGTGGACACTGAAAAAAGGAAGCTACAACTTTTGGTGCACATTGACAGCATTTTACTATTTTACCTTTATCATTAATGTGCTTTAGAGCCTGAAATCTAAAGGCACTTGGCCTAGAGAAAAGTGCATCCAGCATTCAGAGCCCTACCTCTGTCTTGAGGCTTAGCAATAAGATTCAGAAGCCATTCTTGAGTACTTCACACAACTCTGGCAGTGGAACTACCAGAGAAAGACAGCTTAGCTCTCAGGCCAAGTGTATATGAAAGTGGATTAAGGCCACTCCCTGGCAAGCACCGGGAGGAGCAGTCACTCTTTCAGGGACTTGCTTGGGCATACCTCTTAGTGGAATTTGTGGTACTGGGGGTCTTGAAGTTATGAGTTGTACACTGAATGCCTCAGAGCCAACTCTATAAGCCTTTCTAAAGTCTCTTTCCCCTTTCAGTAGGCCAACCACAAAAGTGATATATAGATCTTCCACCAGTTGTGGTTTTGTGACAAAATCCCTTTGATCTCTTTCCCTATACAGACAGCCCTGTGGATATGAATCCTTTGTTCATTACCACAGCATCATACCAATAGTTTCTCTCATCCAGATGATCTGTGATTGTTTTGTCTTATCTTTATCCTGTTTACAACCTAACAAAGGATTTCTGTAATATGCATTTGAATTTGGGGTCTTATCTCTCCGAAAACAAACATTTCTTTACTCTTCCAAGATTGCTCTGCACGAATAAAGGGTTTGATTGCTTATTACAGGAATTTCCCCAAAGTCCCATCAACTCATCAATGGAAAATCCCAACAGTGTGTGCCCTTACTTTCTTTGAATTCCTTG